AGGAAAACAGGGTATAATTAACATCTGAGGAGGTACATCTCAGCATATTTATGTGGTCACCACATTTCTTTTCAGACCTAGAAATCAAAGATTCTCTAAAAATCTTTCCAAAAAATTTTATGTTAATCTTTGTACTTATTTTTAAGTTATTTTCTGTAACTCTACCATATACACAGATGCATTTTCACATTTTACACTTAATAAAAGGAGGCAGTAGGCATATGAAAAATTGACTTTTGAATATTATCTTTTTTTTAAGATTTTTTTATTTATTATGTATACAGTGTTCTGTTTGCATGTATGCATGCAGGCCAGAAGAGGGCACCAGATCTCAGTACGGATGGTTGTGAGCCACCGTGTGCTTGCTGGGAATTGAACTCAGGACTCTGGAAGAACAGTTAGTGCTCTTAACTGCTGAGCCATCTCTCCAGCCCCTGAATATTATATTTTAAAGCCAAAACTTATGAGACACTGTTGTGAAGTTTGAGAAACACACACACACATACACACATGCACGCACGTGCATGCATAACATCCTGTGGTTAGAAGTACTGAAGGGATTCTGTGCATGTGATCTCCAAGTTATGATCAACTAGTAAGGAAACCATATCTCTCATGGCCACAACTTGAAGTGAGGTTAACCTTTTGTTTGTGTGGTTACAAGACATAGGGCAGCATTCTGAACACCTCTTCATACAAGGGAATTGGCCTTGAACTTGATAAAGGATGAAGGTGGTCATACCATGGAATGCATGGGAATATACAGAAATAAAAGCCAAAAGGTTTTTCATAATATATATGTATACATACATATGTATAACATATACATACATGCATGTTAATGCATACAATAAACACACACATATTCTTTTTACAATGGATCGCAACAGATGTGAGAACATTTTTTAACATTTCTACATGCAATAAGAGATAAAACAATAAAGCCATCCAGTCATGTTTGAATGAGCTTTGACTCCATTTGAGCTTGCCCCCAAAGTTTCACAGGACTTCATTCCTATGAATCTCAGCCATACTATTTTCCACTTAGTGTTGTTGCAATTGCAAATAGTGTGCTCTGTAAAATGAAATATCTCTATTAATTTTTATTTAAAAGTTCTTTTTGTGCAAGTAATCCATGCATACTGCTGAGCAATAACTGACCCTCCAGATAGCTTCCAAAACAATGTCTACTATGATATTTCCCCATCCTAATAGTTCTTCTCTGCCTTTTTTAGAGTTAGATTAATTATTGGCTTCACAGATAGAATTTCAGTTAACTGAATGTCTTCTCTTGGGCCATAAACCTAAAATTTGTTCAGAGTTATTTAGAATATAGATAGTCAAGTATGTATTTTCAGAGTTTTACACACACACACACACACACACACACACACACACACACACACACACAGGAATATTGCTAGATTTATTGTATACAATTTTAATCTTTCATTTGACTATTAGTAAAGAAGCTAATGTGGCTTGAGAATTCTTACAAACATGAATCTGTGTATATTTTAAATATTGAATTGGCATTATATTTCTTATATTTTATATATCTACATATTTATATCTAACTTGTTCTTTGTATATATGTACTTGGGAGCCAGAAATTAAACTAAAAGTTTCATATATTATTTTAATTATTCTTCAGAAAATTTCCAGTAGGAAAATATCATTAATACAGTTGGCCAGTCTGTGAAATAACAAATTCACATAGAGCTACTACTTAAAAATTATTTGAAAGTGAAATGTGCTAAAGGTATGAAAAGCTATTACTTCATTTTATAAATAATCTATTTTAAAAATAGGGATTATATGAATCTTGTAAAGTTCTGTTTATTGCTTTGACATAAGAGCACTTTGTAAATTAATGATTATTATATGTTGGAATGTCATTTGGTTTGAAGTCTTATTATTCACTTTTATACTTTGTCTTGGTTTACCAAGTATATAAAATGCATATGAATATTTCCTGTTTTAGATGCCATGTAACTTTTAAACACACACACACACACACACACACACACACACACACACACATATGTACATACCCACACACACATATATTCACATCTGAAATAGAAATGGACCTTCAAAATATAAAGAGCCTAGTTAAAATTTTTATAAGCACTAAGACAGTATCAGATATATGTACATTCAATTTGCATGCATCTTTGCATTAGAAAAAAGGGAAAATAGCACCACAGCAACTTTTTCTATCAAGCTTAACTTCTTCACTGAGAGGTACATTGCAATTAAAACATTACTTAGGCGAATTCTCAGTGGCTCAGCACTAGACACTTCTTACACACATGAGTGGGTACAAGTGTAGCCATGTGCAACCATGTGTGGTAAATCTGTCAGAACTAACAGCGGGGCCTCGGATAAGAGTTCTCCATCAGTAAACCTGCTTGATAGGTCAAGGTCTTTGAATTGTTATCATAAGTGGCACCCAAGAGTGTGGCCAGTAGTAAGGATCTGCTTGTATTTCTCCAGTGTACATTTTATTAATTTTGCATAGGTTTATTCTGCTGGTCATTTGAGGTTATGTTGAAGTTTAAACCTAACCCTAGCACTTGTCAGAAAGATAGGGCTTTTGTTCTCATTTGATGAAAAAGAACAAGATATGTATGAAGAGAATGTAGAAACTATTTCCTGATTAGAATAAGATGCATTGTGAGAAACAAAAAAAGCAATGAGGTTTACTATACTTCAATTTATATTAAGAAACTGTAACGGGAGTTTATACATTAGATGATTAAACAGTTAAGATCAAATTCCTCATGTGAGGTTTCTCCAGCCTCTACTTGAACTACCTTTTATTCTAAATATTTTCTGACCTACACATCAGTCAGATTGACCTACTACACAACCAGTTTTGGATATGTCTCTGGTGTCTACAGGAGCTTACATCCACCCTTCACATTAGATATTACAGTAATATCGCATGGCCAATGACAACAATTGAATCCATAGCATTAAATTTTTTTCTGGCCTAATTAATGGCAATTATTTATTCATAGTCTATGCAGTGGACTGAGTAACAATTTTATCTAGTATCTAACTGTAAATAATTCACTCACTGTATCTGTCCATCCTATATAAAATGATGCAAAATGGTTGAAAGAGAGTGTAAGGAATAATTTTTGGAGTCAGAACAAGTGCAGTTTCTCTTCATCTCTCTCGATTGTTACTTATATAATACTGCATATTCAACTGAGCTATCAGACTTCAGAGTTTTAAAATTTCTGTTGTATAATATATAGGAATAGATTGGGGCTTACAAATTATATCTCTTTTTAAACATAACCAACCAGAAGCTTCACAGTTGGTACTGGCAATACCACACATTTCTCACATTTTCTCTATGCCTAACATGATTGGGTTTTCTTTTCTGCATGTGGAATGGGCAATGCATAGGAGATGGAGTGTCTCCAGTTTTAATCACTTCAGTTTCCATTTGAAAAGTAATTCATCATGAGAAGTCAGTGGGGTATAGAGAGCACTAATTGCAGCAAAATATCAAGGACAGTTTTCCTCTGTCTTAATTAAACATTAATGAGTAAAGTTATTTGCAAATGCGTGCTGCAGGGACGGACTTGTCTGTCTAGGTTTGGTAAATACTGACACTAGGTGTCAAAATAAAGCACCCTAATTGATTTATACAGAAATAGTTTAAAAAGATTACACCTGGCTTGACATTTCCCTAGGTTTTTATAGAGTAGTTTCTGATAAATTATTTATAAAGAATCTTTTCCTGACCTATCCTAATTACAGGAGTGATTGTTTCCAAACTAATCAATTTGGTGCAAATTTGACTTTCCTTTTGGCTTTCCTATCAGCATCGAGAATTATACAGTAGATTATAATGCTCTTGAGTTTCCTCATATTTCCAGAAGGAATATTCAAAAAAGATATATGTTATTGTAAGATTTTAGAAGGCATTTTCCTTTTGGATTAATTTGGAATTAATAGTTTTCTGCATATGTATTTTAAACTATATTTCAGTACATCAGTAATCTGCATTTTTATTTGAACTATAATTTAATATTTTAAATACAACTTAAAATCCAGGAACTATATTAAAACAAATCTCAAGTCTTATGCTCTGTTGTCTTTGATGTGTTTCATTTCATAAGCCAACACACCAAGAAAAGGCAAAATTAAATTAAATTTTTGGGCTCTCAAGTTGGTCTGTAGATATCTAAAATGGCAATGACCACTATAATCTGTATATTGGTTGAATGATACTTCTTTCCTAATTTTTTTCATCTACTTCTCTGAATAAATATCAACCACTATTTATTGTGTTGATCTGATTAAGTAATTTTCAAAATTATTCAATGCAACCCATGTTTTAAAATCATTGTGTTAATTGAACAGTCTACAACTGTAAAGAATAAAAGAATATAGTGTTTGTGAAGTCTGAATCTTAATAAAATGTTTGATCTGTGCAGATCAATATAATAATATAGCTATTTTTCTGAATATGATAAAACTTTATGGATACAGTTTAAAAATATCAGTGGAAATAAACACCCATATTTTTTTTTTTTTTTTTTTTTTTTGGTTTTTTGAGGCAGGGTTTCTCTGTGTAGCTTTGCGCCTTTCCTGGAGCTCACTTGGTAGCCCAGGCTGGCCTCGAACTCACAGAGATCCGCCTGGCTCTGCCTCCCGAGTGCTGGGATTAAAGGCGTGCGCCACCAACGCCCGGCATCACCCATATTTTTAAATGGAGAGAAAATGAAGAAAATTCCCTGATACACCTTAGAATGTCTGGTAAACATTGTATAAACTGTTTTCACACAGCGCTGTTAAATTTCACTCTGAAAGCTTCTGGAACTCCCCATTTCCCAAACCATATGGCTGGCTGCAAATACAACTGGCTTATGGCAAACAGTAGAGGCATACCTCACAGTCTCCCACGTGGGAATCTGTATTGTGATGTATACATTTAAGGTTCTGAGTGATGGATTTTCAAAGGATTTCTATTTCCACACACTTTTTCCTTCTGGTCTAATTCTTTGCAGACCTCTGAAAATAACCAAGAAGCCATCGCCTTCATCATCTGAACCCCAGACCTCAGAAGAGATTCATTTTCAACCTTTGATTCAAATTACTCTTTCAGGTATTTTATACCATTCTTAAAAACGAAACAAACCACAAAAAAGAAAAAAAGAGAGGAAAAAAACTAAACCAAACAAAAACTATTTAGAAATAAGTATTTCTATTTTAGGAAACAAAGTTTAACATTCCTTTAATCTCTTGACCACTCTTTGTTAAGTGCACACAAACACAATAAAAATACTAACAAGAAGTTTGTTCTTGAGAGGAAATAGGAGAAATAGGAATTCACAAACTGGAAGAAGTTGAATCTTCCCATATTCCTAAAGTGGCCATTGTCAACAATGTTTTCAAATAACACAGTTGACAGGTTGTTTTGATTCTATATTTTTTAAAAATGCCTACAAATCCAATGATAAATTCTGAGAGTATCTGAGTTACAGAAACAACCATTCCAAACCAGTGAGAGAAACAAACATTTCCATTTGTGGCAAAGTCAAAGTAGTTCTTGAGTTGAAGGGACTTCAGTCAGAATAATTTTTGTTTTCTATCTCAACCAGTTAACTTGTGAATCTCAGGTTTTATTTATTGTTAAGAGTTAAATACTATTAAATTGTTTAAATTTATCACATTTTCATTAATTATCTCATTATCAATTCATCTGTTGGTGAGCATGTAGGCTCTTTCCAATTCTTATTATGAATAGAACATGGATAAACAAGTGTCCCTATAGTGAAATGTATAAGCCTTTTTGTTTATGTCCAAGAGTAGCATAGGTGTATCCTGATGTAGATCTATCCCCAGCTTCCTAAGGAACCACTGCACTGATTTCCATAGGGGATGTTTAAGTTTACACTTCTACCAACAGTGAACGAATGTTCCCCTCACTCTATATCCCTGCTGTCATAAGCTATCATTTGTTTCATCAAACTTAACTATTCTACCCAGCATAAGATGAAATACCAAGCAGTATTAAGTTGCATTTTCCTGACTATTAAGGATGTTGAACAATTCTTTTAAGTGTTTCAGCTATTGTAAATTCTGTTTGGTTTTGTACCTCATTTAATTAATTATTCTAATTAGCTAATGTAATTTATTTGTTTTCTTGATGTTCAATTTCTTACTTTAATTCCTCATATATTTTAGAAATTTACCCTTTATCAGATAGTAATGTGTAGAGATCTTTATATTTCTTTAGCCTACCACTTTGTCAAAGTGGTACTGTCTTTTGCAATACAGAAACTATTCTGTTTTAATGGAGTCCCATTTATTATTTGTTAACCTTAGAGTCTTTGCTATCATTGTACTGTTCAGAAATTCTTTAGTCTAGTCTTGTAACAAAATCCAAAATCCCTTCATGATAAAAGTTCTGGAAAGACAAGGGATAAAAGGGACAAAACTCAACATAATAAAAGTAATATAGGGCAAGCCCACAGACAACAGCAACCTAAATGGTATGAAACTCAGAGCATTTTCACTAAAACAGGAACAATAAAAGTTTGTCCATACTCTGCATACCTCTCCAATATGGTCCTTGAAATCTTAGCTACATCAGTAAGACAACTGAGGAGATTAAGGAAATACAGATTGGAGAGAAATAGTTAAAATATCCACATTTGAAGATGATATGATTTATACATAAAAGACAATTAAAACCCCACCATGAAGTTTCTACAGTTGGTAAACACTTTCAGAAAAATAGCAGAATACAAAGTTAACATACAAATAATTGGTTTTTCTATATGAAAATTGCAGACTGAGAACAATCAGGGAATCGATACTTTTTATAACAGCCTCAAAAATATCTTGAGATAACTCTATCTCAAGCATATGAAAGACATGCATAAGGAAAACTCAAAAACATTGAAGAGAGAAACTGAAGAAGATATCAGAAGAGAGAAAGATCTCCCATGCTCATGATTGGTAGGAATAACATAGTGAAAACGACCACTCTACCCAAAGTAGTACACAGATTCTACATTTAAGTCTTAATTCATCTAAAATTAATTTTCGAATACGGCAAAAGATGGGCCTCTGATTTCCTTTTCTTTATAGGAATGTCTTCTCTTCCCACTCAATTCATTCAGGAGACTGTGTTTCTCATGACACATTCTTGACATCCTTCTAAAAGACTGGTTAACTTTCAGCCTGGATTACTTTCAGGACTCTATTTGCTTCCCTTATTCTGTTTTTCTCCTTTGTGTTGTACCAGTGTGTCAGCTAATGATCTGGAGTACTGTCTGAAAGTAAAAAAGTGTGAAGCCTCCAGACTCCCCCTCCCCCTCCCCCCCCCATCTCCATTCAGATATTTTAGACACATTGTGTCTCCATTCAACTTAAGGACTACTTTCTCTGTTTCTATGAAAAATATCACTGCAATTTTCTGAGAATGCACTGATACTATAAATTGCTTTAGATATTTGAAGAATAATAGGGCTTTCTTCCCCCTTACATGAACATGGGATATATTCACATTATTTGCATCTTCATCCTCATAGTTTCTTAATATACATTTCTCATATCTTTAAACTTATTCATATCTTTATCTTTAATGATATCTGAAATTATTATATTTCCATTTGATATTTTTGTTTATGAGGCTGTTTTATACTACAAATTTAGCTTGTCAGTTTTATGTTATGCAACGCTTATGAATTTGTTTACTAGCTTTTTAGTTCTATTTCAGATACTTTTATAAATAATTTGTATTGTATGAAAAAGAAATTCTTATCATTTTTTCTAATTTCAGTGTCTTTCATTAATATATCTTGCCTGACTATTTAATCTAGAACTTTGAATCGTGCATTGAATAAAAACCCTAAAGTGGATAACATAGTCTTGGTCCTTATCTCTGATGATAAGTTATCTGCTTTTATCTTTAATTATAGAGATTAAGAGCTTTAAAAATCAAATTTATTTTGTTGAGCTGTAGTCCATCTATGTTTAGTATTTTGAAAGGTTTTGTCTTAAATTACATTGATTTTTTTTTCCTCAAATGTTCTGCCTTCATGTTATATGTGTGTGTGTGTTATATTTTGATTATTTATTTTTACATGTTCAACAACCCTTAGATTCTAGAGATCAATACCACATAATCATATACGGTTTTTCTGATGTATATTACTGTTGGCTTTCTAAAACCTGCTGATATTTGTAGCTCCATTTGCTAGCTCTTCTCATCTGCTCACTGTGGAAGTCTACTTTGTTTTAGAAAAATGTAACATATACTTTAGAACATTTTAGGATGAAACTATTTTACCAAGTTAGTACTTCTTTTTCATCAATAATTCTTATTGCTTCATTCTGTAATTTAAATTATATTTTCACTATATACCCCTAAAATGACTAGCTATTTTTGGTAGTTATTTTTGCCTTAATTATCTCATTTATTTAGGGCAAGAGTATGCCTCAATATCTTCTGTTCCTCAGGGCCATTTTGGGAAACCATGCTGTCTTTTGAAGAAATAGTCTCCCAGTTGATTTTATAGACGTTTTGCCAGAATACTTGAACATACTATGTGAGGATTCCACTTAAACAACTGATCTAAGGTTTTATAATTCTGCATACAATGCTATATTTTGACTCCTTTTCTAGGACAGCAATTACATCTGTAAATTTGATACCAAGATATGCCTTTATTTTCATAAGTTCATTTATCCTGTGGTATATTTTTCTTATTTTATCTTTACCAGGATTTGATTTAAAGGGTCTGCAGGATCATAAATCTAGAATGTTTTAATATTTCTCTCTCCTCAATATTGTATGTAGTGATAAAAATATCTTAGAGACTTATTTTTAAAATTCTCTGGACCAGGTATTTGTTTGCACAAAGGTAGTTAGTGTGGATACAATTTACATACTATTCATAACATGTTATTTTTTATGACATTGAAATTTTTTATTTTATTATGTGTAGGAGTATTTTGCCTGTGTTTATGTCTGTGCACCCACCTCTCTGGTGCCTGGTGCGCACGGACGCCAGAAGAGGGTGTCCGACTCCCTAAAACTGGAGTTGCAGGCAATTCCATGTTGCCATGTGGGTGCTGAGAATTTAACCCAGGTCCTCTGGAAGAGCAGCCACTGAGTCATTTCTCTAGACTCTCATAAGAGGTTATTCATTTTCTCATTTTAAAATATTGTTCTGTAGAAGTCTTCAGATTTTTGTCTATGAATATATTTTTTCTCTGTTTTCAAATGCATTGTCACAAAACTTATTTATAGTAAAATTATGTACATTTATTCTCTACATTATCCTTAGACACATCAGCTAAATATCTATCTTCTTTTATTTTTCTCTCTCCCCATCTATCTCTCTTCCTTTTTTCCTCTCTCCCATTCCTTCCTTTCATGTTGCTACAACCTTTTCCAAAATCTTGGTTTTGAGCTAGTGTTAGATTAGGAAAGTAAAGTTAAATTAGCAAATATTCAGAGTTTATTTAAAAAATCCTACCAAAACATAGTAGGTAAAGACACTATTACAACTATTTTCACAGTGGAAAGTAGGGCTAACATTCCTAGGAAACTGACTACCACTCTCCTAGGTGCAAAGACTATAATATTCACAGTAGAATTCATTTGAAAGCATCTTTTTTAATTCTCTCAAAGGAATGTGCTTAATCGATGAGTTGACAGTTAAACATTGTTTCAGAAAATACTGTGTTGGAGAGTCATTTTATCCTTGGTTGAAATATGTTACTACTGGTAATGAAATTATAAAAAGTGCTACACTGACTGGGTTTGAGAAACAAAAATTGCAGTCATGCCACAAGGCCAGAGATGCATCCCATTAGACACCGAGAGTGCAAGCTTTCACAATCAACACAAGCTGTTGAACCCTGGTACTTTCCAAGTATCAGAGTTTTGTTTTAACACAGACTTCAATGCTCCGGGAGTCCTAGTGAAATAATAAAGTAAGTCGTAATTTAGTAAAAATCAAGAAATAACTATATCAGCAAAAAGTAAAATTAACTAGATCTTTTAAAGTAATAAACTTTAATATCCCAAAAGGAAAACAAATATATAAAAGCATTGATACTGTTGAAAAATATTTATGAGGAGAAACT